TATGAAAAGACTGGTTGTTAAATCATATTAAACACTGGAGAAACAAAGCTATAGATCTGAATACCCTCTAGCCTATTAAAGTGATATTCTTTTATGTGTTGTATATTAGGCATACTCATATAAATATCATCACAGACGTGCAATACAATATATTCACCAACAAAAGACGAGTCAATATTTTATGTTTTCTTTGACTATTTGCCGACGATGATTTTGAATTGTGTCTGGTTTTTTTTTTACGAAGATCATCAACATGAGCGAAGGAGTTTTCTCCCTTTGATTGCTTCGCTGCACTGTTATGTCCAATCAAACTTAAAGGGATTATAAAGAGGTTTTCTAAAAAAAGAAAATATGAGTATCGGGGACACTAATAGCGTCAATTTGCATCATTACAATTTTCAGTCAGACGCCTCTGGTTCCTGCAATCCCAGAAAAATAAGTGTTTGATGACGCGAAACTTTAATAGCAGCTAATGAATTTTTCACATGAGGAAGTATATCAATCATACGTGACAGTATAATGTAATGCCTTTTAAAAACGTCCAGGCGTTAGTGTACATCAATTCAAGGTTTTATACACGTAGTAGGTACAGAGATGTCTTGGCATCAACACAATAGATAAAAGTCAGAATGGAAAGTCAATTTGACTTTGAATTTAAAATGAATAGATAAAAATCAATTAAGAGTAATAATTGCATGTCATCTATAACAATAGATGATAAAATAAAACTAGAATACTACTGTATAGGCTGTAAGTTTGAACGAGCTGTTACTCGGTGATAGAACACCTCCGTTTTTAACTGTTGATTTTCACTGCAACAGCTTGGCCTGTAGATAGTTTTTAAATATATTGATAAATCATTGTTTATTGACTGGAACCGTTATTCACTCTTTTCAAACTTCGTATTAAAGGGGTTGCTAATATTAATTACATTCTTCGCACCTTGTAGAAATGTAAAAGTGTACTTTTAGTCCCCAATAGCCACGTTTACACTGCCATAAATGTTGGCCCGCTTAAAGTGAATTAGGCCTAGACAATTTTTTTGCAGGCTATACAATTAACTTTAAATATGAAACAAACGCGAACTCAAAAAAGGTTTTAGTGACCCCAAAATTGTAATGCTAAAATCGTTTATTCTTTATTATTAAAAGGGGGAGGGGAAAGGAGTGCCTGCTTTATATAGTCAGAAATTATGACTAAAATCTGATCTTGGTTTTCAAACATACCAATCGCTCTAAATTTACCTCCCGGCAGGTGAAATTGAGATCAAGAAGGCTAAATAAAAAAACTAATAAAACCCGAATGAATTATATTCGATTTTCTAGTTATTGGTTTGTAGGTAAAATATCAAAGACTACCGACAAAGGGGCAGACATCTTTACAGGTGATTTGATCCCGTGTTGAAATATTAGAACAGCATTGCCAATGTTTATACAAAGTTTAACACTGTAAGAAATATCTGTTAAAAAAGACTGTTGGGGCTGCTTGAATCTGATGGAAAAGAAATGAATTGGAAGGTTACATTTACA